CCATCCCATGGCTGAGATGGCCTTTGGTCATCGTTGTCTGTATCAGGGCTCACGCAGTCTATTCTCCCTTATTCCAACACTGTCTAAAGGCAGCCTCAGGGTGTGTAAAACACGTTAGGCTTTGTCCCCCATTACCGTGGAGGGGACTGGTAGTGACTGGGAGCAAATGCAACAGAGGCACAATAAGGGTTGGCAATAGGAACTGCAAATGTCACCCTAGAATTGTTTTTAGCCGAATCAAGGATGGGTGGACAGCATTTCATCCCAGCAGGACAGAAAGGCACAAAGACTCAACTCTCTCCTAGTCACTCCCAGTTCCACCCTGCTCTTCTCTCTCAGGCGTAAGCTGGCAATTCCTCGTGCTGAGGTTCTGGGCTGCTTTATGGGTTTTGGTGCTGCACCCTCCCCACGTTCCCCATCCCTAACCTCATACCATTCTACAAGCCCTACAACAGCTTTCCTAACCTCTTCCACGTACCACAGACCAAGCTTGGAATGGAAGTCACTCCAAAATATGCCTCCTTCACAAAATCCCCATCACCCTCCCATACTGTTCTCCCTACTTTCAGGAGCAAGCATCTGAAAACGGGTGTGAAAGTGAAGTACCTCGATAAGGAGGGCTACCGGTTCAGCTACTTCACCCGAGGGGAGCCCGGATGCCAGCCATCTGTGCTGATGCTTCATGGATTCTCACTCAACAAAGACATGTGGTTAAATATCATCCAAGTAAGTCTTCCTTTTATTCTAGCCTGGGTGGTGCTGGTCTGGCCTCGGGTTCTTGATGCCAGAGAAGAAACCTACTGTACTCTTGCTCAAGCCTAGTTCCTTTTAAAGGAAATGAGCCAGAGCAGTTCCCCATCTCCCATCTGCCTACAGCCCCCAATCCCCCTTGCTATTAGAGAGAGTGGGATGTGTGGAAGAGGGAGCAGCATCTCAATGTCCAAGGAGAAAGCTGTGGGTGCTATGTGTCCTGGCTGTCTAGTACAGCCTGCCCCTCTCTGGTCATCTGCCAAATATGAGGACCATCTCCAGAGTTCCCAGCTAGGATGGCCCCTGCCGATGTCCACATCTAAGGTTCTACCCGTTTTTCTGCTTCTTTATCTTTGTGGGGGTAGCTGAGAACCAGCTATCTGCCACTATGGATAAAGTGGACTGGGAAACTCAGAACCTGTGCAGTTTGCTGATCTTATGAGCTTTGAGCTATTAATTCTTTAAAAAAATATCAGTAGGTGCTACTCCTGAATTACAGAGTATCCTAACATGTCCTGGTGGAACAGCTAGCAAGGGAGTGAAAGCCAAAGAGAGGTAACCATCTCCCCAAATAAATCAATGTGTTGTGAGCATGCTCGGTGCTTTCCAAAACACATCATTTGGTGACAGCAGTTGAAGAGGGGGAAAAGATGGGGGTGGGGTGGGGGGCAAAAGAGAACTGGATCTGGTTCTGGGACCAGGAGCAACCTTTCCTCTCTGCTCCTTTTGGCAGTGAGGAGAGCCAGTTATTCTTCCTTTGATTCCTCGGATTCACAAGCAAAACCATTTCCCCATAGGACTTTCCTAAGGACCTCCACTTGATCTGCCTTGATCTGCCAGGTCATGGGGGCACCACTTGCTTGCTGGCAGAAAGTCACACAGCAGATGCTCAGGCTAAAAGGCTACACCAGGTAGGGCCTTTCTTCAGCTGCGATGTGATGCATTTTCTTTGAAGACAGCCAACAGGGAAGGTGGGGAGGGATGAGACATAAATATAAACCCATATTTTTACTACGCAGTGAAAAATATATAAAGCTGTCTGTTCTTTGTATTAAAAATGTAGTTTGAGTTAAGCATGAGTCCTAGTGACTTCATGGATGTGTCTATTTGATTTCTTGGAGACAAAAAAAAGAGTTTTGCCAGTGCCTCCTTCCAGAACAGTTTTAGTTTTTACTTTGTCACTCCTAGTTCAGCTTCGGATCAGATATTCCTAATATTAGCCTGCTTAGCTTTCCAAGATGGACCAAAGTTGGTTAGATGTTGCCATCTAGCAGGAATCTTTTTATTAAAGGTGCTTATAAAGGAAACCCCATACCTTACAATCAATCCATTCAAAAGTCTCACAGATGTGTGAAGTTGCTCTGCATTGCATGGTATTTAAACTGTATTATTTTCATTCCTATTCAGTGCTTCCTCCTGGGGTATAGATTGCCCAGCTTTAACCTCAAAACAGTCCAAGGAAAAATAGGCTCCAGTTATGATTTGCCCATGGGTGCCTAATGAACTTCAGAGATAGTTAAAGAAGTGGACCCCAATCTCTCCAGCCAAGTCCAACATTGGACCCATCACACTGGCATGCTCCTTATCACCCTTACTACTCTCAATGGAAACTTGGGGTTTACTTAGGATTACTTCAGTCTGATGCTGTGTGATGCTATGCATATCCCTTTTTGTGAATTGAAAATTCTTGGCCTCTTCTTGGGGACTGGGCATCTTGTGACAATCCTAGAAAAATATGCCTGGGCCCATTGTGATGAAAAGTTTGTTCCCCCAACACTTGCTGATTTGTGCAATATTGGCATGTCATAAACTGGGACTGCAAATCAACTCCCATGTACAAGAATTCTAGTCAGTCTTGAGCACTGTCCTGCAGAGGGAAAGCTTTCAGGTATTTGATATTAATCTTATCTTGTGAACCCCTTAATAGAAGGGCTGTAGCAGATTTTCTCAACTGTGACTTTTGTTTCATCATTATCCCTATCAGATACGTTTTGCATGTTTTGGAAGCATCAACACTGTTATACAGGCTTATACTGTATAACCAAATTGCTTTCTTTAAGAAATGCATTATATTACCACGGTTCCCTCTTTAATTAAGGTTTGATCTGGTCTTGTTCTCACTACTTGATGATGTTCTTGTCATGTCAGATGGTGCTGCGTCAGCCATAGAAACAGCGATCTGCATGACACACTGAATCACAGAATCCCGAGCAATGTTTTACCCTACCTGGCAGGGTGAACTCAGCCCATGCGATTAGTTTATGGTTCAGTATGTTGTGCAATTATTTCCAGAAAGAATGGGTAAGGATGGGTAAGCATATCATGAAAACACAGCCACAGTCACTTTGTTCCCAATGCTCGTTTCAGTTTGTCGAGTGTGCTGGCCTGAACCACAAACCTTTCCACCTGGTTGGCATGTCCACGGGAGGCATGGTTGCTGGGGTTTACGCAGCTCTCTATCCAAGCCACGTCTCCTCCTTAGCCCTCCTTTGCCCAGCTGGTAAGTGTCTACATGGCGTGAATGAACTCTGAAGGAAAAGGCCAGAATGCTTGGCCCAGACCCTAGACTATAAAAAGAGAACTTGATGGGCTGTTTAGGACATGGTTTCTCTCATCAGGTACAATACCTCTTCATGCATTTCTCTGTTGCTGTTTCTGGGTAGCCCCATTTTTAACCCAGTGGCTAGACCTGAATTCAAAAACTGTTAGCAAGGGACCGACTTGCATTAGGTTTGTTTTTTAATTACCGTTCAAAGAGTTTCAACCAAGCCTATTACAGACTTTTCAACCAGCAAGGAGTGCACCTCCCAGATCCAATAAGACCCATTAAAAAAGTAACTGATCTTCTACCAGATTTATTTATACCAGATCTTGAACAAATATAACATAACACATGCCAGGGAAAAAACCACGTTAAACACAGGAGGCAGACACACCCTAAAACATAAGTCACTTCAAAGTTCTAACAGCTTTATTAAATGTTAGCTCAATAAGCAAGTAAAATTCAACCAATAGCATACAGGGAACTTCCTTAGATTCCCATGCCATTGCCGACCATCACGAGAAAGCG